TAATAATATACAAATGTCACATGACATTTGTCATTATTAATCCCTGTTAATATTTACATTGTCAGCTTGCCTAACGTGCGTAGTCTGAAGAAAGTCGTGTGTACCCACTGCCATTTAGCATTAGTGTGCCTGAGCATAGACCTTGTAATAGTAGCTCTATATAAATTCCTAGGTTTCACCTGCCGTTCGTATCTAGTACATCGTCTCACTGTTGGACGTGAAATTGAGATAAAGCTTGAAGCACAATGGTTGCAACTGAAATTTGTCTGGTTCGTTAGAGTGGTTGTGATATTTCCTGGGGACTACGGACGGTTCAATACTATTCTTTTTTTATTCCATTTTCAGTCATTTGCTAATAGTAAATATTATAAAGGAGGATTTGATATGAAGATGTCAAGAAGAGAAGCTGGTCTTATTCTTGGAGTCAGGTATCCCACTACAGTATACACAAATTCTTATATAACAATTTTGTTTTAGGGCGTATCGTGTTAACATTATTGGTATATCTTCTTTTAACTGTCTTTTTAATAAATTATTGATTGCTGAATGAATATTGCTACTTGACTCGGTTATCTGTGAATTGAAGGTCAGAAGTTAGCTTCAGTAGTTCAAATTGTAATGCTTAAAAAGTATCTTTGAACTTAATTTGCCTTTTGAGTTATTGGCCTCACATTGGATACAGTTGTGGTTAGTTTGCTGTTTGTAATTCTGCGTTTACTTTGAACTGCGATGAACTTTATAATAAACTTTTAATTGTATCATTTCAGCCCTTCCTGTAGCAAGGCTAAACTGAAGGATGCTCATAGAACCATTATGTTAGCAAACCATCCTGATAGAGGTAGGAAAATCACCAATTTCTCATCTCTGTATTTTACACGATTTATTCTCTAACTTTCTAACACCACGTCTAAAATTTACGGTCAGTCAATTGCTTAGGTCTAAGTAATGCATCAAATATAAGTTGTGAGGTTGTGCAGAATGTGTTCAGAATTACAAGGTGAGTATGCTACTCGCGTATAACGAGTTGTTCAGGCCGCATTGCTTGTACTTATTTCATGTTTGCTTTATTTACCACCAGGTGGCTCACCATATATTGCATCAAAGATAAATGAGGCTAAAGACTATCTAGAGAGTGGAAAGCAATGACGTATAACTGGTCACTCCCTGCGTGGATTGTATATTAGATTGTGTAAATTAATGATGAGTAAATATTGTAGAAATTACTGCTACTATCATTATGTATTAAATTTCAACAGTCATATTAACAGAGCATCTTCTGTTGCCGTATTGTTCATGTATACAATGCGTACGTATTGTTCATGTTCATTATTTCTATATTGTACTGAATCAGGTTTACAATAGTTGCCAAGTTTATTATTGTACACTGGTGTCCTGCCCAGATTTATTTTGTTTGCATACTTTTGCTTCGGTCTAAAATGATAGCTGTAATATGTGATAGGATTATTAATAAACAGTACAAACCCATTTTTGCTGCATGAATAAACTGGTTTTACTTTGTCGTTTTGATATTAAGGTTGTATATAAGTACACCTTGATATTAATCTACGTAAATTAGCATGCACAGCTTCTCTGAATATTTCATTGTCATATACCCTAACTTCTGCTCCAAGTTTTGTTTAACCTCCCATTATACTCCCAAATTATTCTCCCATAGATTATAATGTGAGCACCTTTCTGCAATTTTACTTTGTTTTGGCAACACCTAATTATAAACATACACGTACTTATTAAATATAGAAGCTGTTAAATATGGAAGAATGAACCATACAACACTGGGGAGCAACCATGTCTACAAGGGAGCTAAAAGGGAGAAAAGAAAACGCAATATCTGAATCACAGTGATGCGTTTTCTCTCCTGTGTAATAAAACCTGTTAAAGCGAATGTTAAAAAGCTACATGGTAATTAAACCAACTAACGTCTGAAAAATTTCCTAGAGCATGTGTGCGTAATTGAAGGGCTAAATAGCAAAGGAATAGTAAGGTACAAGCACATTACGACCACAAGAAATAATGAAAGGACTTAATGAATCTTATGCAAGATTCACATTACACTATATACATGCACGTATATATATACCAGGAGTAAATAGTTTCAAAGCGGTTATCTCTCTTTCTCTCTCCTCTCTCTCTAAACCATCTATCACTCTTCTCTTTCTCTCTCACACTCTTTCTTGCTCTCTTCCTCTCTCTCTCTCTCTCTCTCTCTCTCTAACTCATCTATCACTCTTCTCTTTTCTCTCTCACACTCTTTCTTGCTCTCTTCCTCTCTCTCTCTCTCTCTCTCTCTCTCTCACCCAGTGTTTCAGATTAGTAAATTTCAATGTCAGTTGTTCATGTGGCATGCAAGTGATGTGTGGCTGTTACCAAACGATATATCAGAACTTTTACAACGATGTTTAGCTGGCACACATGTATTGGTTTAAATATGAATAAATAACCATACATTATAACAGTTGTCCAGTAAATTTACAACAAACAGCAGCTTAAAAAAAATTGTTCGGAAAGCACAACAATATACCTGAAAACCAGAAGCAATAACATTTCTCATACCGATTTATAATTTAGACGTGTAGTTTACACAGGCTATATATTATAATTTATAGTTTAGTTACTTTGCAACAGGCTTACACAATTTAGTAATACACTTTATTACAAATGTTACCATCTGGGTTTCAGGGTAGGATTTGACAAACACTGGACCTTAGGATCTCAAACCATTTAAACACATGCTACTCATCATGACACTACATACTATACAGCAAAATATGACGTCCACAATATCTTCACTATTTACAACAATGCATAACAAAACAATGAATTGCCACACCAAAATTTTGCAATATATAATGAACCTGCATAACAATAAAACAATTCTTAATAACTATACACAAACACAATGCTTTCCAAATTTAAGTTTTATCTCCAAGCGTGTTTTAAAGTATTCATGTAAATGAGTTAAAAATACTTCGGTCACGCATTTGAATTGTGTGCGCAATGGAAAACAACAGAGGTCACCATTTCTTGTGAAATACATGCTACTGACATGCTTTTCTTTATATGCCCAGTAAAACTCATGCTATGCTGGATGAGAGACAACTAGTGTATTTCCAAACTTTTCCGTTATAATACATCACAATATACTATTCCATGGTTTTGATATGTTGCCACATTGGCATGGCAATTAACTGAATCTATATAACGAAATTGTTCATTACTATTATTCAGTTAAGAGGGATATGTACCCTCTCGCGGGTCGATGGGTTATGAAACTGTAGTCTGGAAATGTGAATGCTGCAACGACATACAACGACAATGCGTAGGCGGCGTAAACAATGTTTTATACCGTTTATATGCCATGCCTTTGTAATTAGAGCGATTACAATTAGGGCTGCCTGAATAAATATTAGTAAACGTCTCAATACAACTAAACACTGCATTTCCAGCAATAACTTACTAAAGGGATATCTACGTAGGCTATCCTTTTCTTCTAAATGAACACACCAAAATGATTCTGACCAACACCACTTTGCTGTGTTAGGCTAATTAGAGCTGAAACTAAGTTTTGCGAATAGTAATGTCTTATAAAAATGGCAATTTACAGAGGAATTATGTGGAAGCACGGATGTCCCACACAGTTGCAGTTGACTGACGTCGGTGCAATTATGCATCGCAAATGGCACACACCTAAACTGCAATTCTCAATTCCATAACACAAACATAACTATCACATTTCTATAAAAGGTATCTCAATAAAATCCTCTACAACCAATAACAGATATAGTATATAATTACGTTATATTACCATCATAAACGAGCAATTTGCGTGTGGCAGATCCATGCTTCCAGTATGAACTATCTAAATTACACGTAGATTTGCAATGAAACTATTACAACGCCGATGCACACGTAATGGGTGTCAACACTATAGTGCTGTCAACCCATAAAAGCAGCTACATGAATCTACAGAATATCGATCGTCCAGGGGTGTGTACAATAGGGGGGGGGGGGTCCAGGGGTTCCGTACCCCCCTGCTCGCTCAGAAAACGCATCTAAGGGGGTCTAATTTCAAAAAAATTCTGAAGGAGGACCCCCCAGACCCACCTTTCGCGTGCTCGCAAGTTTGGGTTACGGTTAGACCCCTTGGTACAAATCACGAGACACTTTTACCCAATAATCACACGAAACAACAAAAACTGTGCACGAAGCTGCGCATCACAACTAAAACTAAACTGTCTGTCTGTTCATGACGGAAATTAAATCTTCTCGCGCAGATCACACTTAATACATGCGTGCCCTGGATTGCAACACTCCGAAAACTGCTGGTACCAATATCCTTCGACTTGATTCGAACCAATTTCCACCAATCGCAGCACCACAGGTAGAGCCATTACATTTGTTGTGTCTTTGCTTCATATGTAAAACCACAACCCAGCTAACAGCCCTCAAGACTTAACAAGCTATAGCATTAGTGCAGTCTAAGCACATCAAATTGGTTTTAATTCCTGGTTTCACACAAAAAATTTCTGTAAATGAATCGACAAGGGAATCAGTAATGGGAGTTAATTAAGCAGTTCATCTTAATTAAGCATGGAAGACCTATATGGCATATCCGTACCAACTGAAAACAAACCATATAGCAACATAAACAACCAAGTAAAACACCAACTAAATAATTACACTACAATTAGCAATTAAATTAAAGATATTTTCTTCATTTCTACCTAAAATGACTTTGCATATAATATATATTAAACCTGCTTAAATTCACATTTAACTAAATTAAACACATATATACATACAAACTATTCGTTTAACGTGTATTGTTTAAAACTGGAAGACAGTACGGGAAATGCAGAAACCACGATGCACGATGCACGTGCACACAGCGACCATTACACAGCGGACTGAATAATAATACCAACACTATCCTAGCCATGCACAGTTTATCATAAAATGTACCTAGCTGAAATAGCACACAACGCGTTAGGCCATTACTAGACCCGATGCTGCTGCCTAACTGTGAATAATAGTTACGAGTCGATTACAGAATTGGATGGCCTGTTTTATAAAAAGAATACACGTTTGCATAGAGCAATGGATAGAATATGGATATTTCTTTGTACTTGTTGATATGTGTTATAAAGGCATGAAGCAAGAGTGACGGTGTGTGATAGGCTGAAAGAATGAAAATGTAATCTTTTAGAGAGGGCAAGACGAGATGTTTTATCTATTGTTAATGAATTCCCCATTACAATTAATAGAAAAAAAAATTCAATTCGATAATTAAATAATCCTTATTTCTGAAGGGTTGAATATAGCTGTCCAGATTTTATGGCAAATCTCAACATTTTTGAAAGAGAATCACCAGTATACAGAGGCAGGCCAGGTAATATACGGCGATAACACATCAACTGATCAGTAAAATCAGCACAGGAAACTGAATGTAGAGATCGTTGCCTGTTGCCAACGTTCTGACGGCACAGCCCGTGTTCGATTGAGATGCATTCTAGCTCAGGAAATCACATTTCACACTGTTCACACACCAGACATTGCACCAGCATCAGTTGCTGCAACAGGTTTACACTGCAGACAACTTGTGTGGTAAGCAAGTTGAACTAGGACTAAGCCGACAGTATTCACAGCACATACATAAGAAATGCCCTGTTACAACCCGTGCGCATGCACACACACACGTACGCACGCACGCACGCACACGCGCACGCACACGCACACGCACACAGTTTTGGATGGTGTATGGACCACCAATGCCTCCGTCCTTTTGTGCAACATAGGTTCCTTCATTTTCTAAATTTGTATAACATTCATCTCCTTTGCATAAAGTTGCCGCCGTGTATTCTACTGCACAGAATTTGGAACACTGCTTTAGTGCAACAGTAAACGCACACCTTCTAGTGACCAATGACCGACACATTCATCATTGTGTAAATGCACAGTGTGTGAATATTCCTACAGTCTAAAATATATTACAATCAGGATCGACGACGATCACCAATAGCACGAGTCATCACAATGTGAAGACCACTAGTCCGCGCCGGAAACACCGCATCGTGCCGCGCGTCACACGACGCTACAGCACTTCGAAGTCACCACCACCGCCTCGCAGCCGTCTTTGGAATTCTTCAAGATCTTGCCCTTGAAGCCGTTGCAGTTCACATCGAGAACCTTGCTCTCCTTGTCGCGAATACGCGAGTTCAGCTTCTTCAGCCGCGACTGCAGCTCGACGATTCGCGCGCCTTTCTTCGTGGCAGGTGCCTCTTTCTTCGGGGAGGAGGTGTCGATGATGAGAGCTCCCTTCTTCGTGGCGGGGGCTTCCTTCTTCGGGGAGGAGGTGTCGATGATGAGATGACCATCAAGGTTCGCCGGCGCGCCCTGGCGGCCTTCGTTGTCGGCATTCGTCTCGTTCTTCCCGCCACGCTTCTTCCCTCCTCCTCCTCCTCCGCCGCTACCCTTCGTCGTCTTCCTCCCCTTCTTCTCCGTCGCCTTCTCGCTTCCCCTCGTGTTCTTCCTTCCTTCCCGATTCCCCCCGCCTCCCCCCGTCCCACCGTCGTTCCCGCCGCCGCCGCCGCCGCCGGGCGGCTTGTCATCGTTACCGGAATCGTCGTGCGAATCGCGCCGCGGGATGCTGCTCTTCAGCTTCTCCTTTCGAGTCTCCCCGTCGTCGTCGCTCGCCTCCGAGCTGCTGCAGTTCGACCCGCTGCGGTGCTTCAGGCCGAGCCGCCGCTGGAGCACGTCCGGCGCGGCGGCGGCCGCGCGTCGAGGCCGGAACGCCGGCGCGCGCTCGTCGTCCGACTCGCCCTCCTCGTAGATCTCGTTGAGCGCGAGCTGCGGCGAGCTCTTCACCGTCTTCAGCGAGCGCGGCAGCGACTTGCTCTTCGCGACGATCTTCTGCCGGTGCAGCGACGGCGACTCGTTGTCGACGCTGCGCGGCAGCGTGCTCACCGTCTTGCTCGGCGACGCCGTCGGCGACTTCATCCGCTTCGAGAGCGGCATCGTCGGCGGCTTCTCGCGGATCGGCGACAGGATCGCGTGGTCGACGAGGCCGCGCGGCGGCGGCGACAGCGACGCCGTGGCGCCGATGCGCGGAGACGGGCTCCGGGACTTCCGCCGCGCATCCTCAGCCTCTTCCTCGTCCTCCTCGCAGACGATGCTGAACGCGCGCTGCCGGCACGGCCGCGCGGCGTCGTCCGACGTCGACGTCTCGGACGTCGTCATGCGGTGCTCCGCGGCCGACGACGGCGGGGCGGCGGCGAGGATGCCGGCGTTCAGGCTCTTGCTCATCGGTTCCTTCTTGACGCGGTTCATCGTCTGGCACCTGAACGCAAATCCGACCAGAGAACTTTACACCGAGATATCAAAATTGCATTACGAATCACTTTTTTTAAATATTTTTGTTTTAGAGGTTATGGCCGATTATTTTTACAAGATTGTCGCGTCATGAAAAACTTCATACAGATTTTCGTGCATCTTTTCATAAATGCCTGGCACCTAAACGCAAATCCGATCGGAGCACTTTACGCGGGCCCAGATATTAGCATTGTGTAGCGACATAATATAAAAGGGTAATTAGCGACGTCAAAGGGTAATTAGCGACAGTGGGATTATGCTGAAAGATTGTCCTGAAGTTGTCTTCTGTCGCTAATTAACTTTCACTGCCATTATATTACGCCGCTATGATTGTATTAAGATTTTTTTTTAAATCTTTTATTTTAAAAGTTAAAACGTTACAGATTTTCGTGCATCTTTTCAACTTATTTCATGAAATAAAACCTTACAAAAGATTCCAGGGACCATTTACTGGTTCATGCTATGAACAACTTATGGCTAAAAGTTTAGGTCCCAACCCTTCCTTGCTGTTTCTGAGAAATGTAAAGAAAAACATTTTTGAGATAAATTTACAATTTTTGCGATTATTTTCATCGTGAGCGTAGAAAGACATCTCTTCAGTGGCGTAGTTAGGGGGGCTATGGCACCCCTGTTGATCCTAAAGTTTAAAAAAATAAAAAATAAGAATTGTTCTACTAAAAAGAGAATTGTCCTAGTCAGAATGAAGGCTGTACATGTACTCAAAAGTGCCTCAAGTACCATCTCCTGCAATCTACATTTTCAACATTTTCTGGGGGAGGACCCCCATACCCCCCGCCTGTGTTTCACCCCCTCCTCGTAATCCTGGATCCGCCACTGAACAGTTACATATCTAGGGAGCAGAGAACAACGACCACAAATGTCGCCTTGTTACATGGCGCACAAAACAAAGATTGCAGAGCTGAGAGTCGGGGAGCATAGGGTGTGGAGAGGGAAGCGGAGGAACTATTAAAATATTAAGTCATTCACTATTTTGCGCAGTTCGCTGTTTTCGGCCACCCTGTTAAAAAATCCTGGCTACGCCCCGGCATCTCTTATTAAATATATGTGTTCGAATGAATTTGATGAGCAGTTATGTTGTAATGGTCTTTAAAGAGGTACCCGTCCGTAACCCTAACTGTATCCTTAACCTAAGAAAATACGACTTAATACGAGAACATACAACTATAAGAATGGTGACGAATCTATGGGTACGTTACACTGGGCTAACAATTTATTTCCAAACTGTCCCCTAGGTGGCAGTACCGTGTTTGTTGTCACAGACAGTCTACCGGATGAACGGAGGGGACCAGACATCACCAATCGTTAATTGAAGAGCTTAGGGGTATAAAACTACTACGACTTATTATCAGCCAAAACCTGTAGTCCAGTCATAAAGTGGCAAAAAAGGCCTCTACCTGGAAATCGAGTGAAACAAGCTGGATTCT